ACGTGTCGCATGTGTTGACATGCATAAACTTGATGCAAGATTTTATTTGAATTTATTCGACAATGTCTTTATATGTCTATGTCAAACATGTATGAGAGACATACTATGAACTGGCACTTGCATGATGTTGCACAAGTCGCTATGTTTTATAGTTCAACATTTGCAGGCCTTTAATGTATATACATAGTATGTATGAAAAAAAAATATATTATACACGAAACAATAAGTTTTTCTAACGAAATCTGTCAACCTTCTCAATGACATCGCAAACAATTTTTTTTTTTTACCTGTATATGTACTCTTGCTACCAGCAGAACTACCGACCCGGGCACAAGGCATTTCGCCGCTCCTGCCAATTGATCTGTAAAAGTATTGCGTCTTTGTTTAACGCATGGAGTTGTTTTGTTCTTGACCTTTTGTAATTTAATCCATAATTAAAGTAATTTTTTTATGCTGACAATAATGTTTCGTTCGTCTCTGCTTGGGGTGTTTTTGACTGTCCAAAAAGCGATTACTTCCCTCCTTGTTATACGAGCACTTTATTGCGAAGTTAATTTATCATGAAGATGTAAGTAAAAATATGTAGCTAGATGAGATGGTAGTATACAACCAGTGTGACCGTTTTGCTCCAAGTGGATACATTTCTCGATGAATTTCGGAGAGACACTTCTTTTTAAATTTTGATACTTTTCCAATCGTGTAAAACAATTCCCGTGGAAGTCGAAATACTTACCAGATATATTTCCAATTTCTTCGCACATACATAGTACTAAAAGGGTGGATAAATTTGCCGAGTTTCAAAACTACATACGTTGGTGTTAAAAATCATAAAATTTTTCGAGTGTCAAACGTTCTGTGGTTATCACTGGAGCAAGCTGTTGATCGTTTACTGTCCCAGTGGAGCGCATTGCAATTATTTTTCATATCTTGTTTCGATTACGGTGTGAACCAAGTGCGAGCAATTGTCAAATATTTTGGATATTGTCAATCGAATGAATTATACAGATTGCATAAGTTATTAGTCTGTTCCATTGAACTTCGGACTAAAACCTGTGGAACTGTCAAACTACAATTTTACGCTCTCAAATGAGAGTAAAAGGAGAACATATGCAGAAGTGCATAGGAACGCAAAAAGCACTATTTCCTGTAAAAACGTCAGACGGTTTGTTTACATGTCATTGGTACTACACTGATTTGGCTGAAATATCACTAAATAATTATTAAAATCTATACATATTCAAATATTTCGTTGTTTACTTCCATTTTTTAACAAATATAAGGTTCTTTGCTTTCACCGCTTTCTATTTTTGTTTGCACATGTAAATCAGCTGATCGTTTGACACTTTTCATGAACTTACAGGAAAAAAAATCCGGACTAAATCCTGTAACTTCTGACTAGGAATAGTTGCTCAGTTACTCTCTCAAATGTGTTCCCACTTACAGGTTTTATGTCAATAGGAACGACTTCCTGTAAGTTCTGACTAAATCCTGTAAACCGGACTGCTATTGGAACAGACTATATATCATCGCTTGGCGTGCAATACCGCGTTTACGCAAAATGCAATACCGCGTATATGATAGTCCGAAAATTTCACAAAAGTGCAAATGAACTTATTTTCTTCTAAACTTTTGAATGGTTTTCTAACTGAACTTAATAAATATGAGTTTCTACTAAAATTATTGACCATTAAATTTGTGAAGTAGGCCAGCACTGAGACTGGGTAGTGAAAATAATGTTTTTTGCACGCCAAGCGACGATATAACAATTTCCAAAGTAACTACATATGTATAAACTTATAATATGGGTCTTCACACCGAAGATTGGTACTGGGTGATTCCGTGTTCGGTAATTTTTTGCCGAATAACGAATACCGAGCTCGCTATGAAGACCCATAATGTGTTTTATTTTGGCAAATTAAACTGTATGCCAAGTAACCCAGCTGATATATGGGGTAAGCAAGAGCTAAAAAATGCTTTAAATACCTTTTTATATTTCGAACTAACTTATTTTATTTTTAACTTGTTACGTTTGCCGCACAGCTCTTCCGCTGCAGATAGAACAAATCGCTTCACTTTGCCAAGTGTTGAATGCATAATGCTTTCGAAATGCCTTAAAAATTATTAAACAAATTTAATTTTGAGTCCGATAAGTACAAAGTGTATTTCCACTAAAAATAAGACTAAATATTTATGCATATGACATTTTTGCTGTTTTTATTATACTAATACCCAGTTGAACTCATGCACGTAAGACATTTTCGTTATTATTATTATTGTACTAGTACCAAGTACAACCGATACGTGAACCTTTTTTGCAATCAATATATTCTAAATTGTTTTGGAAAATGGTTTTTCATAAAAAATATTGGTTTTATTCTGTATTGATACTTTGGTACTTAAAATAAAAAAGTGATACATTTTAACCCTTCGGAGGGCGCGCCGCGGCAAATTAGCTGCAAAAATTGTAATTTGTGGTTTTCAAATACTAATTGTAGTAGACGGCCACTGCAACTTAGTGACTTTGTAAGTTTTGAGATGCAGCATGGTTCACAGTTAGCTGTTGTTTGCTGCGTTATATAGTTCAGTTGATAATTGTATTTGAAAGTTTGTGTATCATATATGCGGCTGAATTGCCGCGTCGCGCCCTTGCGTGTACCAACAAAATTTTAATGTAACTCGCAAAATTTTTTTTAAGATAGTTGGAAAAGTGAGTTTGTGATAAGGGTCTAAATCAAAATTGTTATTTTTTAAATATTTTGTCATGTGAGTTTGTGATAAGGGTCTAAATCAAAATTGTTATTTTTTAAGTATTTTGTCATGTGTGATTTTAAAATTATACTTTGCGTAGAGAGAAAGGATGTTTTTAAGTGATGTATTTTAGAACGAATTTCCGTCATCCCTTGTCAAATTCGGTTTGGGGACAAACCGGTTTCGGCGTTGTGCCATCTTCAGTGTCAGTTTCGTTCTCTTGGAAACAACAATAACAAAAATGGAGATGTTTTTAAACCTATATAGAAGCGAACCAGCTACGCAATAGAAACCAGGAATAATAAGATAAAAATTTGTTGTATTAATTGTAACAAAACTGTTTGCAGAAAACATTGCAAGCATATTTCACAATGTGTAGAATGTACCAACATCACTGTTGATGACGACGCATAAAAATCTAAAAAATAAATGCTTATATGATTCAGTATAAACAAAAATTATTCAAATGTTTTATTTGAATGATTTTTCGAGAGAGAGAGAGAGTTTTTGAGATACACCTTGCGGCTAAATTGCCGCGGCGCGTCCTCTCGTGTAACTTTCAAAGCGCGCCCTCCGAAGGGTTAAGTCCCTGCAAACCCCTTTTTATTTTAGTGGGGTAGAATAGCCAAACAAATTTGGTAGATTTCAATAAGTTGTGGTTGATTTTCGAATTTACATACATTAGGCATACATATGTACATGATTCAATAATACAAGGTTCGATAAACTGACAGTTGTCTCTNCCAAAATTTGACACTTTACTGATCATTAGAAGGCGGTGCTGGCACCAACATGACGAGGACAGAAAATCAATTGACATTCTAAAGCGTTCCATCTTTTGATTTTGACGCCTGGTTTCAGTTCTAGGTCTGCACTACTATCAAAATGATCAACAAAGTTTTCAGTACTAACGGATACAGTGCACTTTGGCTTGCTGATGCTACTTTGTTCCTAAAAGTTGTCGAATACTCAAAATTGCCATCGATCTCNTAAACGCGAAAGCAAAAGACGAAATTTAGAGGAACCAAATTTTGGAGGATACTAAAAGTGAGGATATGTACAAAAACACATAATAGTAAGTTTCGACCCCTATAAAAGGGTGTCTATACGAGCTGAAACATATATGTAACACTCTTGAATCTTTGTTATGTAATAAGAATTTTCATAACAACACTATTAGTCTATGAAATTCGAAGAGGGCTGCATGAATTCATTCAAACTTCTAGCCAAACAGAGTACAGTAGATTTGAATATTTTACTTCATATACAAAACACTCAGCGTTTGGAATTTTGTGAGTTATGAATATACATTTTGTTTTATATTTTCTCCCAGCAAACATTTGGAGTCATAAATGAGTCTTAAAGGAGTCCTATTTCGGAGCATTTACGCTCATAATGAGCTCATTTAAGAGTCCGGAATGAGGGTGTTTCCCTTCCTGCAAAGGTCGACATATATGAGCTTAAATTCATACATCAAATGAGCCTCAATATGAGCCGTATTTGACTCTTACTGTTATTATTCTTTTTAGACTCTTTTATGACACACATTGGCCTCATATACATCTCATTTCGGACTCTTACTCTGGACTCTTTTATGACTCTTATTGGCCTCACAAGAATGATAGAATACAAGATTGCGCCGATCAGAGAGGATTTTTGAGAATAACTTTTGTGTGACATCACACTGGTGCAATTGCGAGAGATAAATGCCAAAACGTGAGCAAGAATGGAAGAAGAAGAAAAAATGTTGCAAGGAAAACGTAAACAAGTTGCACCAGTGTGACGTCATGCAAACAACGATTCTGTCAAATTCGTTAAGAGAGGAATAGCGGTCCGAGATCGGCGCAACCTTTGTATTCTCTCAATCGTGATGGCCTCATAAACGACTCTTTTTGGATTCTTTTTAGACTCTTTTTTGACACACATTGGCCTCATATACATCTCATTTCGGACTCTTACTCTGGACTCTTTTATGACTCTGAATAACTTAATTTTGGGTCCTAGATTACGCATCTGTATACCGTTTTTCTAGATTCCCAAGATATTTTCATTTTTCTTAAGTTTGCATTGCGAATGAAAAAAATAAAACTTTAACAGGGAAAATGTTACTCATACGCCATGTACAAGTACGGCCATGTACTATATGGCGTATGAGTACCATTATTTTCTGCTCCTATTTCATACAAAAAGTTATTGCAACTTTTCCTAACTTTGCAAATTTATTACAACTTTACCTAATTAATTAGAGCTTCTAAAAAAGTTATTTTCAATAAACAGTTTTATTATCTACATATGTGCTTGCTGTGTGTTGTATAATACAATATGTACGTATACTAATGCGCAGTATACTAACACGTTGCTATTCATGAATTTATAGTTTGATTTGTTTTGCTTTATGGTTAACACGGTCCCGTGCAGTTTGAAACCATTTTGTTGTAAATTTCTTAAAATCCGCCTCGTTAGAAAATTTTCTGCAATAGGCTTCTATAAAGATATAATACAAAATGCATAAATTAAAACAATAAAACATCATTTCTAAAGAGAAATACCTTTAAACGCAGCAGTTATGGCTAAATTTTGAAGCGAAATTTTATTATCAACATTTTTCCATGTTATTTGGCAAGCAACTTCATCGATGACTAAACGTTTCCAAACAGCTCTCACAAATTTTCCGCACTCGGGGATGCCAATCAAAAAGATTTCGTTTTCCTAGAAAAGTAAATAGAAAAGGTACATTGTATTAAAGAAAAGTGGCAGATAGATATTTTATCGCGCATACAATTATTTTAACCTTCTCCGCATCTCTTTGAATTTCATCTTCGAAATGTAGGAATTCTTCTTTTGTTTCAAAAGGAGTCTTTGGAAATGCCGTTTCACGATTACTTGTTGCGGTCTTCTCAGTAAGAAGTCGCTTAATATTTAAAATTTCTGTTAATAACCTTGTTTGAGTTTTGTTGTGTTCTTCATCCGAGTCATGTAATTTGCGTTTCAAATCTAAAATATAGAAACAAGAATTGTTTAGCATTACAGATAATTCTACCTAGTTATGAATGAAGTTATTCCCAAAATTTTTTGTAATAAATTCAAGAAAGGATAGAATGTTGAATGATTAAAACTCGAAAGCACATTGTCATATTTAAATAATGTTTTCCACAGGTTTAATCCATGAGTCCAATGTTATTGAAATTTGGAAATTTCAAGTGATAATTTTTAAGCCGAAACACATTTTGAAACTAATTTATTTTCTTTACGTACCTTGATTTTCATTTTTTAGCCAAATTATTTCTTTGACGCAGGTATCCATTTTAGATTCCAAATTATACGGTTTTCCTAAAAGCACTGCTAGTCTTTAATATGTAAAGTATTATCTATTTATGTAAATTAAGCTTCATCGAAGATTCCAACGAAGTCAGCGTATTTAGAGGAAGCAGTCAGTTGGAGTCATTTGCGTAGTTTGCTTTTGAAATCGGGTTACTGGTTGAGATTCCTGAATCATTGTTAAAGGCAAAAATTGTTGCTGCCCAGTTGGGAATCTTTTAGGAAGTTATACGTTTTTTCAGACATTATGCGTTGTGTACGAGAGGTAAAAAACAGTAACTGGTCCAAAATTACTTGGCAAAAGTAAACACTTTTCTTTTAGTTGTGAACAAGAATGAATTGTTGTTTTTAAATCATATAACAGTGAATCAGAGCATTTTATATTTATTAGGCTTGACTTTAAGGGTATTTCAAAATAATCTTTTAAATTCAACACTTCATTTGAATGAACCAATTTATGTTCGTAAATTGAAAAGACTGGATCTTAAAAATTTTGCCGTCAAAAATGTAAAAATTGTCTAGGAACTTTTTGACCAAAACATATTGTGACTGGTTACGGATAATAGTTCGCCTTCAGCGTTTATTTCCAAACTTAGAGTTGAGCATTCTTCTCAGGTGACTTGCAGGCTTCGCTCAACGAGACGATTATATATTTGAGACGCAACAAAGTTTCCCTTCCTAACCATTTGCTTGACTTTATATAAGTGATTCTCAAATTTAAAGGCACTAAACGTGTCCAGGTTTTCACGAAAATTTAGAACTTCGTCAGGTAGATGCAAAAGGCAATGAAAGTTATATTTGAGCAATGCTATGTCATAAAGATCGGGTACTTCGTTTATAAAATCAGTAATAAGTTCCCTCGCACAACTATTGTTAGTTAAGCAATGGCTCTTATGAAGTAAAATCCTTATAGCCAAGCTCAATTTTAAAAAATGCTTGTAGCGAAGGTCAGATAAAATATCTTTTAATATGACAGAACCAGTGTAAATTAAAAATTGTCTAAATTCAACCGCTTTCCATCTGTCTAAGTCACAAAATTGCCTTGGTTTTCTCGAGAATTCTTTTGATATATTTGGTTTCAATAAAAGTAAACGCTGTTCTAATATTTCGATCTGCTCCTTTGTTAGAGAATATTTCTTCCGTCTTACGGAAATCCATGAATTAAGTAGAGTTTTAACGACACCCAGGCAAATAATGTGCATGTAGTCATATGCAGTTTGAGTCACAATATTAATAAGTAACTGCTCAATAGCCATTTTAGTCATTACGTTATGATGGTTGGGATCACATTTATTTCGGAACTGCTCATCAGTTCTAAGCATAGAATTTTCCAACTCATAAGTAATCCTATTTTCGAAATGTTTGCCTTTTTGTTGGAATTTTATGCAACTAAAGTATGCGCTATGACTTTTGACACCTAAAACAAAGGATCTTGCTGGTGCGTCGCATATAACGGCCCTGAATTTTACTTCATCAAAGTTCGATTTATAACTAATCCCTTCATTAATTATTTGGCAAACTTCTTCAATGAAAAATTGCAAATACTCATTAACATTTTGAGGCTTACTTATACCTACATAAGTACCTACCATCAGTACAACAGAAGTGCCGTGAATATTTACTAAAATGGGCCATGCTTGTAATCGCGAGCTCTTACAAAGAGGCAATCCATCTATATTTATATTAAGAAGGATTGTTCTATCCTTAAAAACATTACCTTCTAAGAAATCTGTCAAACAATCGATAAGTCCGTAGTGAACATATTCACCTGGTCCCATTTTTCTAGCTATAATTTCGTTAGGGGTTTGTTTTAACGTCCTAGCATCTGCTGGCAAGTCAGGTATATTTGATTTTAGAACTTTTAATAAACCGTTTAAAGCAGCAGTTGTTATGTTATGTTGTACAGCCCATTTTGCCAACTTAGCGCGAGTGTTTGCATTAGGGCAACTAAGCCCAACTTCGGGCACATGGTATCGTAATTCTACAACTGAATCTGAATCATATGTAAGATCAGTCATTTCTGATTTTTCATCAGGTACTAGCAACTCCGCCGCTACATGATGATCATCAGTCGAAGTTTTTCTAAGTTTGTCAGATTCCACATTCACCGCTACAGGATCAAAAGATTAATTACCTGCACTGCGGTTTTGCGATCATTTCTCCTCAACATTGTAGCTTTTAAAACAAAATGGGCTGATTGTATATGTACATATATTTTAATTAAATTAAGTAATGGTTTTATAACAACTCACTCTTGTTGCACACTGGAAATTAAATATTTAGCGTTTAATTGAGTTTCGCGACGAGCTGGCGGTTCAGAAAAGTCTAATTTCATATGCCTATGTTGACAAAAAATGTATAACAAAATTTTCGATACAAATTGCAAAGATTTAATGTTTTTTATTTCCACAAAGTGCCGGCTCATGATTTGGTTCATATATGTGTCCTATATGAGTTGAAAATATTTTGTTATTTTGATACTCATATTTCTTACATAGTAGGACTCTTTTCGGACTCATAAATTCTGAGTGCTCCGAATATGTTTGCGGGGCTACCTTCAAATGGAAGAATGTGAATGAATGAATGGAAAACATTCAAATCATTCAAACTCATTTTGGTAAAAGTTTTTTTCTACCAACAAGTTTTTTCGTATGTAATAGGAGCGCAGCAATACATACATACATAAATATGTATGTTTGTACATATGTGCATAGAAAAAACATTTTTGGATATTCATACAAAAAATTGTCATTTATTTCAATTCAATTTATTTTCACTTTGCTGGAATGTTGTAATGTCGACACAAATATCAGAACAGCTATTCACTCAAATTCAAAAAAATTTGAAGCCAAAATCATTCATTCGTTTTGTATATGAATAATTCAAAAGCCGTTTTGAATGCATTCATGCAGCCCTCTAATATGTATGAATGCGAACTACAAGATTTTTTGGTTATTGAAAATAATCAAAAGTAATGCTGGATTTCCACTAGGCATTAAATGGCACACATTTTAATGACAAACTTGGGCATTTAAAAAATATTTTATATTACTTAAAAAAAAAAAGTAATAAAATTAGCAAATGCCTACATTTCTGAACCTTCAGTGCTATTTTCCGTTTTTGTATTTTACAAAATTTGCTATCCGATTTACACAAACAACAACTGTTATTTCAAATTGACTTCATGCACATTTCTGTCCGGAAAAAAAGCTCAGTCTGTTTCGGGCACGAAGAAGAAGACATTTACGATCCAAAAGTGGAAGGTATTGGCTCTCTATTACCCATTTTTCTAGCGTGAGGAACGCTTTCCGGGCTGTTTTGAGCACCCGCGTGCTCGTGTGGAACAAACCTATAGAGATCGCCAGATTGACAACCCTTGCGTCGACGGAACCAACAAACGTTGGCCAACACTCAACTTTTGACGCAAGTAGGTCCGTCACTGCTGACAGTTATCTTACCTTGCGTTTATACAAGACAAGAAAATTGAGAATATGTATTATTTGTCACATTCTTTGAGTAAAGTAGGCGTCCAGACAATAATCTTTGAAAATTTAAAGACATTGACGAAGACAATGAGAGAAGTGTGAATATATAATTAAGAAAGTGCGAATGTATTGGTATTGTATCTGCAAAATTGACTTGCGTAAACCCCAAGTACGCGGTCATAAAGAATAGCTGATTTTTGTTTGCAACCGCAGCAACTTCATTGTGGCCCCGCACAGTGGGGCAAAAAAGGTTGCTGTGGACAAATCAATTTTGAGGGCCCAATTATGAATCGATTTCAAGTTTCTTTTTTGTAATAAGAGAAAATTAAATTCCGCGTCGATCTATCGATCTACTTCTTTATTTATTTATGCTGAAAAATTAATGAAAAAAATTTAAGGTTTGAAGCTTTCAATTTTTTGGAAAATATTTAAAGTTCATTTCAAATACCTGCAATTCAAAAAAATATTCATAAAAATTTTTTCATAGGATGCCATTAATTGAAACAAGTAATTTTTAAGCAAAAAATAAAACCGACTTTAATTGTAATATAAAAATTTAGGAGTACCGTTAATTTTTAATGATCCAATGATCGGATCTAAGCCAGATTAGTATGGGCCCATCTCTGAGACACTACCTTTCCTTGCAAAAAGAATTATCGAAATCGCATGACGCGTTCCAAAGTTATGAGTTAAGATACATAAAAAAATATATATATATATATATTCCGACGAACTGATAACTTCCTCCTTTTTTGGAAGTCGGTTAAAATTTTTTTAATTTCTTAACTATACTGAGATATATATTTCTGTTCGAAAAACTCGAAAACAGCTGTACCGATATTTTTGAAATTTTGGACATCGACTCTAGATCCTCCAAGGATCATAATAGTGGAAAAATAATTTCGATATATCAAGGGGGCGTGGCACCGCCCATACAAACTACACAAAATATCTCTGGAAGTATTAATCGTAGAGTGCTGCAACTTAGTATAGACATTTATAATACCAACGCCATAGTCATAAGAAAAAATCTGACTTGTTGAAAAACGGGGCGTGGCACTTCCCATACAAACTGAATTTCTCACACCAACCAACATATTTCTCTCCTATATGTATTTTAACTCGTTTTTTCATTTATTCTAAAGACCCTTAGGCAAAATATTGCAAATTTAAAGTGCCCATAGCAAAGAAATTTTACCAAAGAATGTAAAAAGAGGTTTTACTATATGGGTCTTGATCTTTCATCCAGAGCTGGAATCATTCCGCCCCCAGACAATGACCCTCAAATTGTTGCACAGTGTTATTGCAAACAATGAAAAATCTTATATTTAAGATAAATTCATACATATTTGTTTACCTACATATCGTTGTTTAAAGTACAAAACCGCGTATGTAAGGTTGCATGCATTATTTTCTACATAGTAAAAACACTCATATTTTAAAACGGTTCTCTATTTTATAAATCAATCGCATTTCTGGCAAGTATATTTCAGTACGAATGGATACGGATTGTGCCAAGAGCTTGTGTGAACAAATCCAATTTTTGGCTGCAAATGTCAGTTACGCGGTTTTGCAGAATGACGATACTCGGTTTTGTACTTTAAACAACGATATGCTTATTTGTAGTCACATCCACTAACACTAATTCTTGTGCGAATGCGTTTGCATAGCACTTTCTATATTGCCTGTAGTTTTGCACAAATGCAAGGACTCTCACGTCCAATGCGCATGCAAAAGTAATAACACAATAAAACGTGCACTTGAGTGCTAAATTGTTTTGCAGCTCTTTTTCGACTCTCTGGCAGACAAGAAGATTTGCTAAAGCAAGCAGTGTTTGCATTGCTCAACTATGCGTTCAACTCAACAGGGTCACACGAAAAAAAGTTGAATGGCTAAAAAGAATAAAATATAAAAACAAAATATAAACATATTCGCCAT